CCCCCTCCCGTCCCCTGCGCTCTCAGCACATTTTTTTTGTTTTTGTAGCTACAAAGGATCTGAAAGTAGCGACACTTGCGTTTCAGGATGACAAGTCATTATAACTGAGATCCAAGGGAACGTCTTGCAATCTGTGTGCCCAATTTCTAGCTCACTTAACTTTATTCCTAATTGTTTTTAATCACCAGAGACGCCCTTTCAGAGAAGATGTTCTTGGAAGCAGGGGACACAGAGATAATGCATGGCTTGCTGTCCTGTATACGCCGTGATGACGTCACCGAATTAAGGCTACTTCTCATCCTCTCCGGGGCGAATCTGAACGAGAAGGACGTGTTTGGCTTTCCACTTCTTGTGACAGCCGTAAAACTGAACAGCATGGCTTGCACTAAACTGCTGATTGATCTCGGGGCAGACCCCAACCTGTCTACTGCCCAAGGGTTGACACCTCTGTGCGAAGCTTCTGACAACGGGAGGCTGGACTTTGTTCAGTTGCTCATCTCTAAAGGCGCCGATCCGCACTTGGTCACGAGTTATGCGAGGACTCCTTTGGTTCGGGCTGTGGGATCTGCTGTGTGTGGCTTGGACGTCGTGAGACATTTGGTCAAGCTTGGTGTCAACCTTGACCACTCCACATATAACGACGGTTCGGCTCTGACGTCTGCTTGTAGGTCAGGCCAGATGGACAAGCTCTTATTCCTTCTTGACGCCGGTGCTGACATTAACAGACGCGATAGGTTAGGCTATTCCCCTTTAGAGATGGCTGTCTTGAAAGGCTACCTGGAGATAGTCTACGTGCTGCTTCGACGAGGAGCCGATCCGTCTCGAGGGCTAGCTTTCCTATCGCGCTACAACGAAGGGAACGAGGTTCTCGCGGGCCGTCTCCTCGAGGCGGGTGCTGACGTCAACTTCCGACATGGGGGAGAGCGCGAGACTCCCTTATCGCGAGCTGTTCACGAGGGCCAGTTCAGGACTGCCCGAGTCCTCTTACAATTTGGGGCCACAGTAGGACACGCCCTTCACGTAGCGGTGCACGAAGGGAAGGACGAAATTCTTGGAGATCTCATCCGGGCTGGAGCCACGCCTCATCTAGAACAATATTCTCACATTGGGACGAACGTTTCACAGTCTGAAAAGCTCATGACTCCCTTCAGTTTCGCTGTGGAAACGAAAAACTTTCACCTAGCCCGCGCTTTCTTGTCAGCCTGGTTTCTCCATGATTCTGACGTAAGCCATGTGGTGCACTCCCCTGAAATGGGAGCAGCTTTTCACGAACACGATCTCTCCGACTCCACGGCCTGGCTACGAGACATACGGAGGCGCCCCCTGTCTCTGTCCTGTCTTAGTTTTGTCGCGGTCTCTACGAGTCTTGGGTTTGGCCCGGACCGTGAAGGGAGAATAAGCCAGCTTCAGGTCCCGGCAGTGGTGAAAGATCTGTTATTGTACCGGGGCCTCAGTGAAGATCTTGGAGCCATCATTTGAGATCTCCAACCTTTTCTTGTGTCTGTTTTTACAAGGGCATTTTTAGAATTCTGTTCATATACAGCATGTATAATACATTAATTTGTATTACTTATTATTATGTGTTTCAGTTCTTTATTACTACTTGTAACGTGACAGAAAAGTGCCTTTCAATCGGTCATCTCATCTTACTCACGGTGTGACTGTAGGCGTTCTGTTAGCTCAGTTGGTAAATTGCTGGATGAAGGAGCGGATGTCCCTGATTCGAATCCCCTAATCTGTCTCTGTGGTTTTATGCATCCCGCATAATTTAGCAAAATTTGATCATTTTTTTGCATAATTTCTGATTATTTTCCTTTATCGTTCTTTATTAAAATTAACGGAATCGCATAATTTCACATTTTAGGCTCAGTTTGCATAATTTCATTTTTTTGTTCATAAAACCACGGGGACAGGTTGGTAACATGCGGGATGAATGAGCGGATGTCCCCGATTCGAATCCCCTAATAGTCCATTTTGGAACTTGGGCTTTTTCCTTGAGATTTTACTGCTCTCCACGTACATGGATTTGACTTGATGCTATCGGTGGAGGATGTAAAATTCGGAAGTCTTTCCTTTTAAATAACATACAGTGTTAAAATTGGTGTTAAATCTATACAACAACCAGTGTTTATGTGAATGTTAAATTGGGTACTGACCAGTTTTGACCGAATAATGTCTGTGCTCGTTTGTCTCTTTGGGGAGCAGCAGGGACAAGTATAATTAACAATACATATATAATATATATCGACTTCTTA